TTATTCCCAGGCACAGAGAACCTTCTGGTCCATCCAGTGGGTTCTGATGACAGTCCCAACGATGGCAGTCAGTCCCCTCCTTCAAAAATCAGCTCATTATAGGATGTAAAAACAAGAGTAGGAGTCTTAAGCCTTCTGTAGGTTCCCTGCATGAGGAATTGGACATCCTTAGTTTCCTCTCTGGAGCTGAAAACTGCAGCAATTGGAGCAGCTGCAGCAAATGAGAGGAGTCATAACTGGTATAAAAAATAACTTATCTAAAAATTCAGGCGAAGGCCTGATCTGATGACATTTCAGAAGGGATTACTCCATCCATAGATCATTTGGAGGCACAATGAAGATGCAGTATCACTTGGGATTCTGGGTGATGTTTTATGGTTGGTTTTCCATGGCTTGTTAAAATCAATTCTGTGACAAATGGAGGTTTTGAATTCGAATGAAAATGCCATAAAAATGGTCATATTTATAAAGCTGTAATGGAATATCATTTGGAATTTGGGTGTATGCGCACAACAGGAGATGGTCTTACTCTCTATTATTTCTTCTTCCCTAATTCCTCCCCTCCTTGCTCACTTTGTGCTTTTAGTGGCAGTTTCACAGCTTAAACTTGACTGGATGCTTTAAGTTCATTTCTTCTACCAGTTCATCTTGTCCAGAGGAGGCCTCGGAGCTGCTCCCAGGGCTGGATCCCTCTGCTCTGGAGCCAGGCTGGGAGAGCTGGGAATATTCCCCTGGAGAAGAGAAGGCTCCAGGGAGAGCTGAGAACCCCTTGCAGGGCCTAAAGGGGCTCCAGGAGAGCTGGAGAGGGACTGGGGACAAGGCCTGGAGGGACAGGACACAGGGAATGGCTTCCCAGTGCCAGAGGGCAGGGAGAGATGGGATATGGGGAAGGAATTCCTGGCCCTGGTTGCCCAGAGAAGCTGTGGCTGCCCCTGGATCCCTGGGAGTGTCCAAGGCCAGGTTGGACAGGGCTTGAAAAAACCTGTGTCAGTCCTGAGTTTGGCTTAAAAGGGTGAAACGACTTCATTTTGGCTTTGGAAATCTTCTCTTTTAAGGCCACACAGATCCCAGGCTGTGTGTCAACAGAATGATTAAAACAAAATACCTCGTGTTATTCACAAGTGGGTTTGCTGAAGGCACTGAGATGAAATGGCCAAAAGTACAATTAAGGGAGGGGGAAAAAAAAAAAAAAAAGCTTAACAGCAGCAGAAATGGATTAAAAAGAGGCAAAGAAAAACTTTCCAATTTGCCATTCAGGGAACAGGATCATCTTTGCCCGCGGATGAGCTTTTGAGTCCTTCCGTGGGGGAGGATGAGAGGGGAAAAAAGAAGTCTTTAAATTAAAAATTCTCCCCTGCTTTCTCAGAGGTGCCAAAACAGCCCAAGCTCCTCGTTCCTTTGGTGGGTGGAGCAGGTGCTGAGCTGAGCCGACGTCAAGCTGGGCTCATTTTTGTCTTTCCCGGCGCCGAAAAACCTGAAGCAAAAAAAGGGCAGATCTCGTCTCTCCTTTGTGTGCAAGTCAAAAGTCTTTTTTTTTTTTTTTTTTT